TATACAATATTTTTAGTGAGCATAAAATAGAAACAAAACGATCCCTTGCATAAATATGATCATACAGAATCCTATGGCTTTTGTAGCACTTAGAACTCTTGGGCCATTTCAAGATCTCTGCTGCTGCCACCACAGCGTGGGTATCAGTTTAACCTACTGTACTTTTTGTGTAATGGTTACTGAAGAAGCTCTGACAGGTGTGCTTTTCCAGGGTGCTACACAGTTAATAAATCATCCTCAGAAAAATATTAACGGTCAACATTCCTGGACTTTATGCCTGGATTTAGCAGGGAAGACAGCAATGGTATCAGTAAGGGTAGCAAACCACAGGAATTTAATACTGTCAGTCTGGGTGCTTGGACTTCATGGTTTAGATTTAGATTTTCCTCATTTGCAGCCTTGCTGTAAAATCAAGGCAATGACCTGTGCTTGCTTTCTCTGGGCAGGGCAGGTAAGAATTTATTCAGTACTAAACACTTGGAAGGATACAGCTGTATTTTAACAGAATTGAAGAGTTAAGGGGAGATATAAGATGTGACCTCCTAGCTTGAACTGGCACGAAGTGGGAGGGAGAGAAAAAAGGTTCACCTATTGGGGTGGGAGAGGAGCTGCAGATGTTTGTGGTGCCAGTTACATCATTTGATTTCTCTCATGCTAGCTACTACCAATGGGATGTGAGAAAGAGGGCAGGAAACCGTAACAGGTCTTAGCTCCTTTTAAATCTACGTCTGCTTTCTTAGGGGCACAAAGAGAGTTGTGTTGACTCATGTACCTGGTTTATATCAGTGGGGTTATAAGCAGCGCTGTAGTGACACTTTGCAGTTCAAGGCTTTTTCCGTTGTGCTTGTGGTCTCTCTCCCTGCCTGCCTTCCTAGCATGTTGCCAGTGCACATTTATGCCAGTACCTCGAAATAGCTATTTTCATGATTGCAGAGTTATTTTTAATTGTTGTACATGGACAACCTGTTAAACATACCGTAACTGCCTGCATTTTTAGAGAGGGACACATGTTGCAGCTTATGACGGGGATAAAACTAGGTTTCAGAAAGTATCTCTGGGGAAAAAAAACATGCCACTTCTGCTGATTTACAAAGCAAAATTACACTGATGTGGAAATCATTAAAGCAGCCTGCTGTGACTCAGTGGTTAAAGGACATAAAAGATACCTTACAGCGAATCAAATGTAATGCAAGTGGGAAAACCCAAACAAACTGCCAATTTATATATGTTCAGGGCTCATTTGAGGTTGCTCTGCACAGCTTACTTCTTCCCTGGCAGAAGCAGGTGAGTCTATCCCGCATCTTCAATGTTTCTTTGACTATTTTGTAGAGAGATAATAAGAAAGAGCTTGGTGCAGCCCTCTGGACTTTTTGCTCCAAATCAAAGCTGCTTCTTTCTGAAGCAGAACAACAGTTTCACAGCCAAACAAGTCTCTCCAGGCACACAACTTTCTGCCAAGATTCCAGCTACTGATTCATCTCACCCAGTTCTATCTTTTCCTTACTAATGCTGAATTGCATTTTCATACTTTTATAATTAAGGGGAAAAAAGAGGCCTTTGTGAGCAAGATTTCCAAGTTCACTCAGAGTTCCTCAGGCTGACAATATTACACTAGGATAAGCTTAACATCTTCATTCCAAACCAATTATGTTTTACCAAAAACATTCTTCTTTTTTCTGTTCTCTTTTTTTTCTTTGGAGATTGTGAGTCTGTCTGCCTAGCCCTTGTACAAGTTCTAAAAATATTCTTTAAAATCTATCTCCAGATGCATGTACAAAAAACCTGTGGATCTTGTTGCAGGTTTATAGTGGAGGTAAAGATGTCACTTTGATACAGGAAGGAAGGGCTAGCTAGAATCATCTTTGGCAGAAAGATTATGCAGTAATATAAGCAATGATATGGTAGTCTAATACCAGTCTAATTTTAGACATTTCTAAGCTTTAAATTATAGAAAGCTCGTTTTAACTCCTGAACTTGCCTGGGACTGGGAACTGAGAAGATAAATAACGGCTTAAATCATTATACTCTCTTCTCCCTCCATCTTCAAAATCATACTTTCAAGGAAAATTTTGGTGTAAATATGACTATTTATGATTATGGCTTACTGCATATATTTTTCCCATTGAATCTGACCTGGTCTTCTATCCTTCATACCTCCTCCAGCCATCTGAAGGGAAATTCATGTGTCCTAATGCAACAAATATATATTGGAGATTGTGCAAGACAAAGATTTACTATGTATTATATATACTTTTCTGCACAGTTTGCAATAAGAACTGTTGATTGCTGTAAATGCAAAACATGTGTGTCTTTCTCATAGATTGAGGTTCTATGAAATGCCAAGCATAGCCTAAAATATAGCCTAAAATATTAAAACATACATTAAAGGTTTATGGTCTAAGTCCTACGCACCAAACTCAATAAGTAAGCCTCTTCAGGAAGAGTGTTGCTTGATCTAGTAAATAACAGCAGAATATCTCAGAGAGAATCTGAGCCAGCATCTTTTACAGCAGGAAGAATCAGAAACAACTGCTTCAACTTATTTAGATTAAAATGAATTTTGGTGCCCAGCCTTTAAGCTACTGGTATAGATATGTTGGCTGGTCTCATTCTAAAAACTGAAAGTTTTGGTCTTCATGCAGCTGGATAAGTGGAATGAGTGTCCTTTCAACTGCACCAGTAATGAAAACATACAGAAAATATTTCCATTCCAGTTGAATTCTATATGCAGTTATGGAACAAAACCTCATTAAACAAAGTGAAACATTTCCTAGAATTCCCCTACCACATCCATGTATTATGGTAATTTACTTTGAATTTAAGAATTCTGAACCTCTCTGTATGTCTCAGGTGGGAGCAGTCTTCTTTGTCACATTTGTTCTCAAGTCTTTTGAATTCATGCTTTGCATTTTCAAGGCTTTTATTAACGTGGGGACCAGCCAGTTTTTCTGCATTCTACAGGCTTGGCAGTAAAAGAAGGAAAAAAAAACAAACCAAAACCCCCAAACAATTGAATCTTTTGTTTTCTGGGGCCCAGATCTCCCTCCTTCTAGTGCCTCATGCAAAGCAGGAGAAGTGGTGTGGTTGTATTTCGCACATTGTAGTAAGGCTTCAGCCATTGCGAGCTTGAAGAATGTATCCTCCTTTCCTTTCCAAAGCATGAGAAAGTGGCTATGGCACTGGGGTACCTCGCTGGGTAAAGTAGAATCACCTATTCCCTTGCCCTGTCCCATACTATTACTACCATGCCAGAAAATTGTTTGTGAGAAGTAAATGGATGATGTTATGGTCTGTCCTTTCATGTCATTCCTGAGCAGATTCCAAATCATCCTCTAGGATCTGAAGCTACCATTCTTAGTCCTGAGGTATCGCAAGATGTCTCTGTACTAATCATGATTTTATAGTTGTCCTACAGAGCTAGTGATAAACCTCAGCTAGATAGTTCTGAGGTGGATTTTTGGGTCATTTTTTCTTTATTTTACTCTTGCTTTTCTTTGATAAGGCCCTTTTACACACTTTGTACTGATGCAACGAGAAAGGGAGTCTTACAGAACTGCCTCTCTGGTTCTATGTCCAGTGTGGATTTCTTCAACCTGTTTGAAATTCTGCAGCTCATCTACACAGTAGTCCTGCCTTGACAGGTTGTGTCCAGAGTTGCAGCAAAAGTGATCCTGGAAGGGGCACATACTGGGGGGAGGTATATCCCATTTTTCCTGCTGCAAAGGAAGAGGAGCATCAAGCTGGAGAGGCAATGGCACCTATAAAGAGCCCAGACAAACTGGATTGTAGTGGGGGGACAGTCTAAAGGTTGGTAGGACCTGGGAATGGGAGCACTGTCCCTGAGCAGAGATACCTTAACATCTAATTCTCCTGCTATGATGGTATATATATTCTTTATGAACTTGAACAGTGTCATTGCAATGGGTTCAAATTGCACCAGGTGAAGTTTAGATTGGATATTAGGAAAAGCTTTTTCACCAAAAGGGTGGTGAAGCACTGGAATGGGTTGCCAAAGGAGGTGGTGGAGTCACCATCCCTGGACGTTTTTAAAAAAACGGTTGGATGTGGGACTTCGGGAGATGGTTTAGTGTTAGGGTGGTGTAGGGCTCTAGGTTGGACTTGATGGTCTTAAAGGTCCTTTCCAACCTTTATGATTCTATGATTCTATTGGCAATTACTAATACACATAATAAATACTAGTGTATTGGGGGCTTTGAGAAGACTTCAAAGCCCTTTAAGAGAGTAGGTAAGTGAAGAGAAGCCCTATAAGGTGGAGCAGATTTTGACTCATGAGTTTAGCTGTCCAACTAATTTGCATGGGGTTTAAGTGAGAGCCTTAAATCACACTGAAGATATTTCTGATGTTGTAATTAGATGGGAAACTCCCTTACAGACATAAAATCCTAAGACAGTTGAATTAAGGATTATTTTATACTATATAGATTCATAAAACAAATTAATGTAATTTCTAGAGGATTTTACAGCATGGCTTGAATAATGGTAAGATTCTATTCACACAGGGAATACAGGTATAAATCACCAAATGTTGCCAGTCTTCTATAATGTTCACGTCTCAAGCTCATGTTGAAATGCTCAGCTTTGCAGCAGTTATGGAATCAGTATGTAACATGAGTGATTTTATATTAATATTTTATACGAATATTATGCTGAATATTTTCTGTTACAGGTTACATCTTCCATTTTTCGTGGCTACATGAGCCACTAGGTCCTACAATAATGTTTGGGGTCCGTTAACGCTGCTGCCTTAACATGCACACTGCTTTAACACACCCCACACTCTATTATGGGTGTGCAGAATTGCCTGTGTGTCCTGGCCTTTACTATGCCTCTGTTCAGCTTTCATTTTTCTCCTTTTTGAGCTTTTTTCACCACTTTAGGAACCTTTCAGTGTGTTGAGTGAAACTGCCAGCAGGATGGTTCAAGTTTGCAAGATCTTTCTAACAAGAAAAAAAAAAACCAAATGATCTCTTTAAAACCTCTGCTTTAGATTTGATTTTATTTGTCATCTTTTATGAACAAATTACGAAATATACTTCATTCACAAATTGGAAATATTTACAGTTTCTTTACAACAAAGGCATTGTTGAGGTTTTGATTTATGGCATTCTTAGAGCGTTCTGTCTTTCAAAACAAAGACATTGGTGGTGTTTTCAGCACACTGTTCTTTTACACTCTGTATGTGAAATGAGAGCCTTTTGGAAGAGTAATTTGCACTCTCTTTTGACACAATCTACTGGGAAAACTGAGACTGGATGCATTCATAATGTGGGGAGGGGAACTTTGCAGATGTGTTGCTGGTACCATACCACATGGTCTGAAGCCATCACATTACACCAGATGTTGTTAAGTAGGGAGGAGAAGAAGATTCCCCTGAGCCATCCTTCCTCTGCCATCTTCTCTTCTCTGTAGGAAACCTGTCACCAGGCTAAATATGGTTCACTTTATTTTTTTCTGGGTTTTGAGTCTTCATGAGAAGAGTCTTGAGAAGTCTATTTCAAATACTATCACAATTCTGAAAAGTTATTCAGACAAAAAACCAGAAGAGAGTAGGCAGGAAGTGAATAAATATTGTATATCCGCAAAATGTTTAGGAGACAAATTTCGAACATGTTTCTAGAAGAGAAATGCAACTGTGCTGTTCTGCATTTGTGACACTTGAGCCATAAAAGCTAAGGTAGTTCCATTTTCTCAATTTCTTGGAGTCTATTTTTTTCCTGAAGAAAATTCTAAAACCACTTCTTTCCATGGAACTTTTAAAAATCTCTTAATATACACTTCCATTATAAATCAGATGTGGGCCACCATTGCTTAGGTTGTCTGTCATTTCCTGGAACAAGAATAGAAGACACTGATTAAAATTACAATTATTTTATGGTGTTTGAATTTTAGTTAGCTAAGGTTGTAATAAAAATTTAACAAACTCTGAATTTCAAACATTCAGAAAAACTTCACATTTTTTATTTGGCTTGATAAATCTCACTAAAAAAAAAAAGGAATCACGTTTCTTCCTACATAAATTAAGTACATTTGAAAGCTGATAGACTCATTGATATTGAGTTGGACATTACTCTCGGACCACATGTACAACATTGATGGCATCAGTGCAAGTTTTGTGATGTGTCCTTTGAAAGTGCATCAGCTCAAGTTTGTGTGGTAATCTACAAAGGAACAAGGTGGTAATTAAGTCTTCATTTCCATTCAAACCTTCTTCTGTGCTGACATGCTACGAACAGATGCCATTCAATGCCAGCTGGGGTAGACATTTGGGAAGTAGGTCTGGATCTAAAGAGCATCTAAGGATTTCAACTGCTTGCCTTGAGATGGAATTATTTTGGTTTTCCCTTAGTATGCCAGACTATGATTTTTAGCAGTTCAGCAATTGCTACTCAAATGGCAGATGAGTCATTCCGGAGTAAGCTGACCTGATCATGAGTCAGAATCCTAAGGCACTTAAAACAAGATTTGTTTGGAGTTAGATTTTCTAATTCTCAAATTGCCATCCAAACAGTACCTGCTTAGCAGCTCTCTGAGCCTGGAGATGGCTCCATTAATTAAGCAATTCTCTGACCTTCAGGGCTGCAAAGCCACACAGAGGTTGGGCTCAGAACTGCAGTCCTAGGCCTGTTTCATACCCAACTGAGTCTAGATGTAGAAATTTAAGTGCTGTACTTCTTACGTCCAGTGACAGATCCCAAAGAACATCCAGCTATGCCCAGAGGAATGGGCACACATGAAAATGCAGTTTGGGCTTTCTTTTTAAAATTCAGGTAGATGCGGTAGAGGGACCACTGTTGGGCTAGTTCTAAGATATTTACATGAGAGCCAGCAGCTCTTCTATGCACGGAAATATTAAATTCACCTCTTCTACCTCCTGGATACACTTGGACAAAAAGTGGCAGAAAAGGGATTAATTTGTTCCTCTTGTGGAAGTTTCTATGAAGAGGGTAAAGCAAGATTCATTGGGCTAAACAGAAAGACAGAAAGAGGCAGACTGACTCTTACAGAATAGTAGCTGACATACTCGGTAAAGGGAAGAAAATTCTGGGATCTGGTCTTTATTTCTCGTCTGACTCTTTCTCTCTCTTCTTTTAATCCACAACATTTGATTTATAAATAGTTTGGGAGGCAGCAAACTCGTGAGTTTAACGTAAAGTGGAAGCACTGGTGCCTCCTCTCTCAGGTGTTACCAGCTACGTTTTAAAGTAGATCACAAGACTTAATTGTTCCCTGCACAGTTTTTGAAATAAAGATGTCCTGTTCCTCTCTGCAAAGTAGGCTTAGGGCCATCAAACAAAGTAGCCTTGCCAATTAATACTCCTGAATAATGTGTAAGCTTCAGGGAAAATAAGGCATGTAAACTGACTGAATTTTGAGCATTTTCTGCCATCCAGCTCTCCATTTGGCGGATGATGGAGTTGGATATTTTTATATGGTGCCTTGTTCTCCTCGTATACTGAAGAGGAACAGGCATGCCTAACACTGGACTCTGGATCCCAATTTGGGGATTGTCTGCAATGCACTGCATTCGGCCTGCTTGTAAGTGCTGAAACCCTTTGTTGGATCTACGCTGAAGATTTCAACCAGCTGGGAAAGGGAGCAAGAATATTAAAGCCATTTAATATTAACTGTCAGTCAGCCACAGGTTGATAGTAGTGATCTGTCAGAAGGCTACCCATGTGTTAAGTTTCCTTTTGTTGGCTTTATCACTTGAATCCTCTGCAGGCACCAACTATTAGAGTATCAAAACAATTTCAGAAGATACTGAAAACCATTTATTTTCCCCAATATTTCTATTTTCAAAAATAAAAGTATTAATAAATTAAAAAAATGTTGCTGAATTCCAGAAATGAAGGAGCACACAGATCAGAAGCAGAGTGAGTTAATGGTGGCAACATCCAAATAGGAGCATTTGGATGTCTGTAACTAGGGTGAATACTTTAAATACTCAACTTACTTCCAGGTTGCAGCATTCACCACGTGGAATTATGTCACTACCTGGAAGCACCATTCCTGGCTCAGAGTGACATCACAGCATCAGCCAACTTTGATTAGCTGAAACTATGACTTCCTCTTAGCGGTGGCCCTTCCTGAAGTGACATAACAACATGGTAGCTCCCTAGTGTTCAGCGTACCTTGGAGGTAACTCTGGTGTCGGGGGAATCACCGGGCAGCTGGGCAGGTCGGTTATTTCAATACCCCTCAATCTCTAATATAAATATAACAATTATACAATAAATATAGCACAAACAAATGCACATGCAGTACATTCCCATAGTACTCTATGTCAGTATAAGTATACAAAATAGTCTCATATATATATAAAACACTCTAAAGCTATTTTCTAAATCGGGGCCTAATTTAAGGTAAGTTTTTAAGTAGCCTGTATTATTTCATAGGGGCATGCCTGGAGCTATTGTACTAAAACCTGCCAGCAGCAGACAGTCCACAGGCTGTAGGTCTAAGAAGTCCCAGGCCAGACCATCTACGCATGCATACTTGATTCTACAACACACATGCAGGGAGTCCGCCATGGGTGGGGTGCATCCCACATTTACTGAGTGTGTGCAAGAGGGTTGCTCTGCACATGCATTGTGGCCCTTCACTCAAGATAAGTGGGCACCTGGAAGTCCTCACTGCCAAGTGTCTAAAAGCTTGGTAGGTCAAAAAGCCAGGAAAGGAGGCAGTGAAATACTGCAATGCACGGTCATCTTCAATTGATAGAGTTGGCAGGTGTTTATATTTTAAAAGGTTTTTCTTCCCAGGCTATTCCTTTTAACTTCCCCTCCCCTCTTTTTTTCTCAAATGGGCTTTATATTTGATGAGGCAAGAGCCCCTTTGAAAGGCAAAATCCAGTCTACCAGCTGCAGGACCAGGGTCATACTTGCCTATGTAGCTTATCAGAATTCTGCTTCATTTTAAAATGAGAGGGAAAATTGTATTTCTTGATTTTATCACCCTATTCTACATTACTGTTGTAACATGTACTGTTTAGCTTTTTAAAACAGGTGAATTCAGTCTATATTTCTACTTCGAGTCTCATCCCAGTTAAGAAACCAAAGAGCAGGAACAAGTAATTTTTACTTAATGGACAATTAACCTCTATATGATGTTTTGTCAGGGAATCTGAAAACATTCTGCAATCTGAATTAATCCTCTCTCTGCTTTTCAGAGGTCTCAGTAGATATGATATAGACTCTTGAACTTCACTGTACTGCAAACTTGCACATGGAGGTTTAGGTGGGCAGTCCATTTTGTTCCCTTCTCTACTCGTTTTTGAAAGGAACGGCATTGGCTACAAAGTCCAAACATAAAGCACAGGGTGTAAGTGAACACATCTCAGATGTTGATCAGATCTGTAAATCCAAGAAAGTGATTTCAAGAATTCTATTCAATGAATTCATTTGGCCTTACATCCTCAACTTCGGGAGCTTAAGTTTCAGCACCGAAGCACAGACTTAGACACCTTGGTAAGCTTCTTTGTAACACAGAAAGGCAATAAATGCTCAGTGCTGCTGCAGATCAGACCAGTTTCATTTAGGTGTCTAAATACACCTTTATGTGCTTAGGTTTAGTCATCTAGGTTTGTGAACTGTGGCTTATGTGTTTAAATAACCTACTTTATAAGCTGAGCACTTGGGAGAGGAAGAAATTGATTAAATCCTGAAAGCATGCAATGATGTGGTTACAGAAAGCATTCTGTGCTTTTTCAAAGTACAATACATGATAATCCATATTAATAAGGCTTCCAATTATTTATGAAGTGCTATATTTAGCAGCTAAGCCCTTGAATAGCTATACAATGGAATTATGTTGAAAATGGATGTACTTCATTGAAATGGATGTACTGCAAATATACAGTACCTAAAAATAGCTCCATATAATGCAGCATAATAAGCTTACACAGAATGGCAGCATTTCATTTCCCAGAAGCTCTTTCTCATATAAACTGAAAACTTAATACATCTCTTGCCAATTGTAAACATTAACACATACAGTAGCATTTTAGGAGAAGCAGAACAAATACGGGAGGACACACAACTCACTTTTTCTGCCATTTCATGGGAGTGATGCAATGAATGTTCTCTTTCCGAGAACATTCGCCTTTGTTCATAGCTGGCTAGCCGACAAGTGAGCCATGAAGAAAGGGTGCACCCACCAATTCCAATGCATGCAAGAGACATGGAGGCAAGATGCAAAGAATAGAGAGCAGACGACTTCTTTGTCAGAGCACGAAGAAATTGAAAATTTAAGATTCCTCCGATTAGTCCACAGATGCAACAGGCAGAAAAAAGTATCATCTGTCAGGAAAGACAAGAGAGGTTATGTCACAGTAACGTTTTTCAGAGTGATTCATTCATATAAAAAATGAGACTAACTGTAGTTCAGTGCTTCGATAGCATCATGGACTGTAAAACACTGCACAGACGCTTATTTTTAATTCCCTCAGTTCCCACAGAGCTCCAAGGGAATAGGATACCTTCTGGTGTACAAAAGTTAGGACTGATGTTGCATATATGATAAAATTGGGTAGAATGAGTTGGTCATATTAAAAGCTAGACAATGGAAGGACTACTAGGACACAAATCTCATTTCCAGCATTTCATTCAAAGCAGTAACCTGACAGAATGTGTCATGATTTTCTATTGTGCAGTTTCTCACCACTCCTCAGGAGTGAACGCCTCAAATGTTTGCAGTGAATCTCTCTTGCTTTGTGTGCCATCTGACTCTGCCTCCTGTTCAATTTTAATTTGTTCAGTCAGACAGCATTTTGGAGGCTTTCTTGTGAGGACTTAGAAGTGTTCAGGGTGAATGTGCTGGACAAAGAAGCAAGAAAAACAACAAAGAAATCTGTGACGCAGCTCTGCAGAAAGTCAGTGTGGTGTTTGTTTTTAACTCGGTTAAAATGTTTCTGGTAACTTTAGGAGGTTGTGAAACGGGCTGCAATTAATAATACATGTTAAAAGACCTCCTGTCACTTTAGTCAGAAAGATGCCACCCTGGTTTGGGATGTTCTTGAACCACAAATTACTTGAGAGCAAAAGACCTTATCATGCGGACACTGATAAATTATTGTCTTATTCACTTCCCTTGATGCTGCTGCCTGTCAGATGGGCCTCTGATGTTACTCAGTATGGCTTTGTAGATGTACTTATCTACTGTGGAAGGAACAGTTTATTGAGCCTTACAGACCACTTCTGTGCAGAACTGAGAGGAGAATTTAGTCAGGAATGTGGCATTCAGGCTGTATACCGCAGTTCCACTGGGAAGTGGCTATTTCATGAGACCACCAGAACAGAGAGTTTTTAGAAACTGGCTATGGTCCACACGCTTTAACAAATGAGACTGTCATTATAACAGGGTTTAGGATAGCTCACTGATATTTAAAAATAATCCATGAGATTTTGATTTCCTTCACACACTGTTTTTACGTGACTTCCATCCGTATGTATCAGAATAATCAAGATGACAGAAAACTAAGGCAGACATTATCACTTACAATAGTCTTTATGTAAGTTCTGCTGTGACTTGTGCAGTAATAGCACCATTTTGCTGCAGTCAGAAAAATGGCTGTATGTCTGATTCTTAGAAGAGATAGAAAATATCCACCATCACTTTATAACCAACTTATACGTGAGTTTGATTGCAAAAAGAACTTATGTAAAGAGTGAATAGCTATGTTATCTAAAATCAAACTTGGTCAGTAGCCTCACTGAGGTGAAAGCCAAGTGTTGGTTTTTGAAGGAGAAAAGATACAATCTAGTGATGTTGTTGGGGAACTTTTTATTGACTTGGCATAAATTTGTGTCAAGAGGTTTTCCATCCAAATTTATCTAGACAGGGATAAATATGGATGTGTAGCTTAAAGAGGCATGACCTAAATAGGCCATTTCAGAGCTGCCTTGTTGTGCTTGATAAACCCAAAGTGCTGATTGCTTTTTTGGACTGCTGACTTTTAATTTTTACTGACTTTTTAACAGTAACATTTGGACACAGAAAGCCTCCTGTAAGGAGTTCAAGTTAGATAAGTATGCCTTCAAATACTTATGTCTTATATATGCAGTGGAAAAACTTACAACAAGTCCAGATTTTTTTTTGGCGCACAATATTCCACATATGCCACAAAGCAGAAACTGCAAAGAAAAAAAAGACCACAATTATTTCATCTTTTAAGCTCTAAAGTTTCAGTCCTGCTGAGTTGCTGTAGTGGTGACCACAACAATAGGTTAGGCAATGGTCACAGTTGTCAGCATTTTTATCACAAACCTTATGTTCAGAAAGTTCTAACTCAACCATAAACACACTTATTTGAGAAGAAGGAACTGGAATGAGAAGTCAGGCTAAAGATGATTACTTATAAAAAAATGAAATCTACTTTTAATCAGCTTGGGTAAACAAAACATGACCAAAAAAATCCCAATGTTGCAAGCTAAAGATGGCTTTTTACTCCTTCTATTTTCTCTGAAAAGTTTAGCAAGGTAGTAGTCAGTGATCCCAATGATCTGCTTTCAAGTATAGTTGAGGTGCTTAATGCCCTGATCCTACCATCTGAACCACTGAGGATTCACACATGGCTTGTTGTCCTCAAGACGGTGGAACTCTGGACAAGAACGCAATTCAGCCGCTTCCGTGGGTGCAGGTGTAAAGACAAGTACATCCCTTGATGTGGCTACAAGGAGCATGCAGGAAAATCTGTTTCAGATTCTAGATACCCCGCTTTGCAGGAGATTGCATGACGGTATCTGTACTTTTTTCATGTTGTTCCCTTTCCCAAATCAATCTGTTAATTGTCACATCAAGCATCAGGCAAAAAAACTAATTAAAAAAAAACAGATCCCCCCCACCAGCTGATATAAATAGACGTTAATACTTTTTAGTGACTTGCATCAAAGACCAGTGACATTCTATGATGTCTCTTTTTCCTCCTACAACACAGTTTAATTAGGGAAACAGGAAACAGTGTCTGAGAGAACAGTCATGGTAGGAACTACAGTAGTTGTATGAAAACAATAAGGCCTTCACCAGGTATTTGTAATATTGTGAAGAGATTTCTTTGATACCTCATAAACTCCTTTATTAATAAATCTATGCTACTATCAAAGTTTAGGGCTGGGCTGGCCACAAAATTCTGACAGATTCTTTCTTTGATGCCTCACCACCTTCCCAGGGAAGGATAACGGGGGGGCCAGGGAGAGAGACTCTGAGGCTGAAAAAATCTTGAACCTGCATAATGAAGAAAGAAAATAATACTAAAAATAACAGTTAAGATGTTGAGCTATATACAGATATCATGCAAGTATGCAAATATATTCAGGGATACAAGGCAATATGTTAAGATGGAACCCACACCATCCGGATGGCAACTGGGTCCCAAGCAGAAAAGCCCCAGACTGGACTTGGCAGCAGACAGGGCCCCTGAGCCCAGAGTCCCCCAAAAAAACAGAAAAGGAAGCCTTGGAGCAGCTGCACCACTCCCATGTCGGGAGGCAGGGGAAGACAACTCGTCCCAACAATAGTGCTCCTCTACAGTGCAAACACAGGTAGCAGGAACACCATCAGCACAGGGAGCTACAGGCAATCCTCCCAGCACAGAAGGCACTAAAGGCCTCAACACTTTTCCTAGGAGCCTTTTTATGCTGAGCACCATGGGAAGGAACACCATGACTGGTCCATTTGGGTCACCTGACCCATCCTCGCGTTCCCATAGACACAGCTGCCCCTCACTCCCGTTGTTGTTGTTGTTGTTGCCACCTGTGCCAGGAATCCCAGAAAACTTTTACCCTGGTGCTCTCAAACCAGGACAGCTACTAATTTTCAGAAAAGCTAACCCTACACCCCTAGTGAGAAGCAATTTTATAGTTTTAAAACTAGATTTTTCCACATCCTTTTTGTGCTGGGATGGTATTTCTAACAAAATGCTCTGCTTGACCTTGACGTGGGATTACAACACTGAACAGACCTGGCGGTTACGTAAGAAATGAAAAAAGTTAAGCAGTTTCTGGACAGTATTCAAAGTCCCTATAATATATTGCATGTGCATCTCATTTACCTTCGGTATCTCAGTTGAGGAAGTGCTTTAATATACAGTTTATCTAAACAACTAAAGTAGTTCATGCATATAGCTAAGCGTCGGTCTTGAGATGCATTTTTACCCCAAGTTAGGCCCGCTGAATCAGTTTCCTACAATGAATATGGTTAAATTTTGTGTATGGTTTACTACTACAGTAAATATAGAATGTAAACTTAATACCAATCTGATTATGGAGAGAGCTGGGTCACGTAAACCCTGGTGCTGAATCGCTCAGGACACATGAGGACATACAACTGCTGATTGCTACAAGAGCTTACCCACTGGAATTAAAAAACTGATGAATAGGGCTCCCTTTGCCCCTTTTCCACAGTCAGAGAAGATTTCAGCTCAGAACCATCACATCTGCCTTTTACATTTTCCCTCAGGCTTTCTATGAAATCTGGGAGTTTCACTCCTGGTCCTGTCATTGCAGATTGCCTTCAGCTGAAGGCATGCTTCAAATTTTCACATGTAGTGTTTTGCATTTCACACCATTAATGCAGAAACCTCAGAAAAAATTACTGTAATTACACTCTATTCATTCAGACTTGATAAAGCAGATTAATAATATAATTTCTCTCTGTAGTGATTGGATAGGATTCAAAGGAAAAATTTGTTTAAATAAAAATGCATGACTTCTGGAAAGCTTACAGAAAGTATCTGGAAGACACTATCAAAGATAGTTTCAACTTGTAACAAGTGTATGTTAACTAGTTTATAATGCTGGGAATTTTGTAATTTACTTTCCAAGATAAAAGGTCACCCGTTTTTTCAGGAATGCTCTAATTCTGCTTCTATTAGAGTCAGTGGATTTTTTTTCCAACTGATTTCAACTGAGGAAGACTTTTTCTTTCCAGGTACGGTCTTTGCTAGCCAGAAGGGAATGCAATGAACAAGTTACATTAGCCTTGCATATGACCAAAAGAGCAACAGCCAAATTACAGATTCACTCAGAATTAGAACCCACCAGTTTGGACAGTTCTGCCGTTCTTTACTGTTTTTCAAGGACAGGACACACACCATTCTAAACCACCTCTCTCTATGTATCCACAATATTTTTACATATACACATGGAATAAGGTGTCCTTTACTTAAAGAACTCAACAGAGAACCAACTATTCTATTCTATTCTATTCTATTCTATTCTATTCTATTCTATTCTATTCTATTCACAGAGGAGCTGGATATTCCTGGTTCTTCCATGTTCTGTGTGAGCTTGAGAAGGTCATGCCAAAGTTTTGTAATCCATATGACTATAAGACAAGCTAGTTGTAAAGTGAATGCACCAGTGTGCCTGGGCATGTTAAAAACCTTGGAAGAAAATGACCTGGGTAGTAGTAAAGGATTAATACTGTTTGGGTTTGGTTTAGATGACAGTGTGCTACATTCACAGAGAAAAGGCTTGCCCAAAATCCATTATGGTTATTTATTTACGACAGCAGGCATTTTGCTATTAAAACCAGTGGGTGAATTTAAGCCACAGTGTCAGGCAATTAAACCTCATGAAAAAAACTTTGAAAATGATGAGCCAAATTTACCACTCTCTTCTGAGACTGCAGAGGATTCTGATTCTCTGTAAGTAGTGGAAATCCAGTTTACAGAGAGAACACTAGCAATACCGAGGACTCAGGAACACTGCTTATGCAGAGTTGCCTTAGTCAGACTTCTTAGTGTGGAGATCTCTAGAAAGGTTAGGAAGTCAGTGGGACGTTATATGATTGACTCTGATCATTTTTTTTTCGATAGAAAAGCTAGGGATGTGGGATTTTTTTTTTGTTGATGTGTAGTAACTTCCAGTAACATTTTTGATGTCTCAGTGTTGTGATCAGCAAAGTATATGGGAGAAATTACAGTTGTCCTTTGTACCAGAAAAAGGATGCAAATACAAATCAGACTCAAAATAATCCTGTGTCTGTTCCTGTTTGTCTTTTAATTTTGAACTCTTCTATTTCACAATGCTGTCAACTGGAATACAGCCACCAGAGGCTCTGTTTTCTTACCACTCTCCCTTGTTGGTTATCTTGAAAAACTTCATGTCAATATGTCATCTGAGCTGAACTTGGCTTGGCTACTCTGGACTACTTTACCAATGACTAACTAACGCTGTGATGGTGAGGACTCACTCTTTTCTACCTGCTCATTGATTATTCTCAGACAATTTTTACCAACCTCTTGGACTCTTTCAAAGTACTTGCATTTCATAACCTTGTCAAACAGAAGTAAGTTAAGGCAAACACACTGAAAATAAAGTAAATCAGGAGCGGAAAAGAAATCTATCACTGATGATAAGCTCCTTATAAAGCGTGACCAATTGCTGAAGTGTTCACAATCATGACAAGAATACGGCTAAAACATTTAATGAAGGATAAACTAAGTTAATAAGTCCTTCAAATGTCCTGCAAGCCAGAGAGGGACCTTCAGCTGGGACTTTTATTTATTATTCATGACAAAAATCATAACAGGCCGAAAGATCCAAAATCTCACTTAAACCCCTACATAGATCATATTTGCAACCAATTCCCGTTGCTTCTGGGGTTGCTTTTGGTTGGAGACTTATTCCTACCTCCTAAGACACATGACATTTTGTGCCAAGACTGGCAGAGGAGGCAGGGGTTGAGTGCGTCATCCAATAATAGATAGGGGCAGAACTGGGTGCTTGGTAAAAGATCCAGAGAAAGATACTACCAAGGGCAAAAGCTCCTTAGAGACTCAGTGGGCTGTGAGTGCCTTGATTCCCCTTTCAGTGAAGATTTGCCAGGGCTTTAGCAGTGTCAGAGTCCCTCTGATAGCACTAGTGTGATTGCAATATGATGCAGTAGTTCCTATTTTTCTGTGGAGTCTTTGCCATTCATACTGCAGCTGTGCCTGCTTATATTCAAATACATGTTTGAAAATCTCTCTTTCGGTCTGTTGAACTTTGGAATGAAGAACCAAAGACCTCCCAGAAAAAGAGAAAGTTTATTTTGAGCCTGCTTTCATTTACTTTATATTAAATATGAGCTTGAAACAAAACCTCAGAATCAAACACCCAGGAATTTCGGTAAGGAGGCTGAAATCTCAATT